ACATCCACTAATGCGCGCAGATACTCATCACGTAACGCATAATACCTATGCGGATATCACGTACATAATAATATGCGCGGCCATATCACCGTAACATGAATTAGGAGCCGCCAGGATATATCACCCCGCCCTCAACATAATACATGCGCCAGGATATCATCACGGCGGTACACAAACTAATGCGCCCACGCGATAGTATGCACGGTCAACATCCTAATAACCTGGTGCAGGCGCACCTCATAGCACCGTACCAACCATCAACTACACCTGTTGGCAGATCACTATCACGCTAATACTACTAATGCGCAGCATACTATCACCCGCAACTACATCACATCGGCGGCAGGATGATCATCCCACGCTCAACCCATAATAACCTCGCTGCACGGACTAGTCATCACGTGCAGCCCATGAATAGCATGCGCGCAGGCACTTATTATCACGCTAAATAATGAATTGCGCAGGATACCGGCCCCGCGCCTATGCAGGGCGCCCGGTAACCATAACTGAATGGTGCAGGACTATAGGCTCCCACTCAACTTCAATATGCGCAGGATAATATCCACCGCCCCAGCATAACCCGGGGCGGGCGAAGAAAACCAAAAAAAAGGTGTGCAAGAATATATCAGTAACATAACTAATGTGCAGGATATATCAGTACACCCTACAGTAATGCGCAGGACACTTCACGTACAATAATAATGCGCCGGCATACTATCACGGAGAGCAGAGAGTAGGAGTGCCGGCGACAGATATATCACCGCTACACCATGAATAATGTGCAGATATACCACCCGCTAACATAACTACTACATGCGCGCGAGGATATATCCACGTAACCATCATGCTGCCAGGATATATCACCGCTAACCCATACATAATGCCCGCAGGATCTACTAGTCACCCGCTTAACCATATAATGTGCAGGAGCATATCCAGCGTAAAACATATAATGGTGCCAGACTATGATCACGTAACAACGATAACTGCGCAGGATATAATCACACGTAACATAATTAATGTCGCAGCGATACCTTATCACCTACACTAATACATGCGCCAGCGGACTATATCACGTAAAACATGTTTAATACAGGCTGCGCCAGGATATATCGACCGTAACCTAATAATGTGTCAGCGAATATATGCACGTACCACACTAATACTAATGCCGCCAGGATATATCACGTAACATCAATAAGGTGTGCAGGATAGTATCACGCCGTAACATAATAATGCGCAGATCACTATCACGTAACATAACTTAACATGCGCAGGGATATATCACGTTACCACAAATAACATGCGCAGGATATATCACGCTAACATAATAATGCCAGGATATATCGCGTAACATCAATACTACATCGCGCCAGGATATATCACGCTACATAATACTCAACTATACTATAAACATAATATATCTGTGCATTAGTATATTTTACGTAGACATATATACCCTGGACAGCCAGTACCCATCCACGTTATACTAATCATGCGACATCCATTACATCCAGGTTATACTATCAATGCGACATACATTACATCCAGGTTATACTATCAATGTGACATTCATTGCATCCAGGGTATACTATCAATGCGATATCCATTACATCCAGGCTCGCGCTACATGCAGTCGTCAACATCCTTAGAGAAATATCAGCGCGCCTCTTATTTATGTGACGGCCATCCAGTGGCGGATCCGGGGGGGATTGGGTGGCTAGCCACCCCCTCTGTTCGACTAACATGATTTTTACACATATACGAATTAATTATTGCCAAGTAGGCCTATAATAGTCACGCGACTGTACAAACCAGCACCTGATGCATGGGTTAAATTATATAATTGAGTGGCAATGCAGGTTACAACCGTTACACAGTTCCAATAAATAGTTTTGCTGTCGTCCTCATCCCAGCGGTGGTCACCCCCTGCCCCCCCCCTCTGTACAGAAATCAATGCCGCGAGAATTGTTCTACGTACTAAAAAGAGAATTGTCGTGGTCAGAATGAAGTCTGTACATGTACTCAAAAGTGCCTCAAATACCATCTCCTGCGACCTTACATTTTTAAAATCATCTGGGGCAGGACCCCCATACCCCCGCCTTTTTCCACCCACCCTCCTTGAAATCCTGGATCCGCCGCCGCATGGACGCGTATCAATTTATAATAATGTTGGGACGTTATGATATCTATCTTTCAACCTGTGTTCAGTGCGTGCGCTTAATATTTAATATTTATATCTTATATCATATTTAATCTCATATTTAACATTTATATTAATTGTTATCATTTACTGCACCGTTGCATAAGCAGTAAGCAGTATGTTTTTCCCTTTATTTTGCCGATGTATTTGTCTGATATTTGAGCAATCCAAATTAATCGGAATTTGAGTTTCAATTTCAAATTACTCTTCTGCAGTATAAACTTTAATCCACTACGTGGCAGCACCATCCAATACTTGGTATATTTGTTATAGGCATGCCCTATTCTTTGGTCTTGCTGTCTCAGACGCTCACTCGTTTTACAGACCAAGCAGGCCTATATACCCGTATCGTAACTCGACATTATTGCACTGAATAGTTATGGGGGATTTGTCTGCTTAGATTTAATTCGAACGACTGCGAATGGCCGGAACAATAACCTCCTAGACAAGAGAAACCTGATAAATGGTAACGTGCCACACCCATTGAATTCTTTATCTAGTACCATAAAAAGTATACTACCACACCAATGAAAAATTTTCAGGTATGATGTATTGAGGAAATGCTGTGTCATCATCATCCTAGATGGCAATTTCTCCCTGTTCATTAATTTGTGCTCGTAAAAATACAAGAGTGTATGGCTCACATATTGCCTTATAATAAGGCTTTTCAAATCAGCCACCCCTATGTAATTTTTTTATTTTTGGAAGGAGGATAAAATGTTCTTCATGTTCAAATATTTTTAATTGCATATAGTACCATGTTCTTGATACATATGATTGTCATAACAGTCAGCAATTGTCCTGTATGCTTAGAGATCATATAGATAGGAATGTCATAGTATACACTAGATATAATCTATAATTATGTCACTTCTGATATAGATACATACATGTGTACGCTGCCATTATGGCACGATTTTAATTATTTAAAGGTATGCATATCGCATCGTTTTCACACGTCGCCGCCCGCATTTTGCTAACGTATAATTATGCTAGCATCAATCCATTCACGTGGTGAGTGCTCCTCCAATCACGTTTCTCTAAACGTTCGTCCTCCGAAGCCGAATTGATTGCTTCTCGCATACGCGTCTGCGCCGTGCATGTGGTGACGTTCACGTCATTTTACCAACTTCTGCAGCAACGCGCCAACATTTATGAGAAAATCCGCACGATACTATACGTGAATTATTGTGAATTCGAAAGAAACGCGAGATCTTCTACTTGTTTTTCTAACCAATCGAGTTCATCGAGCTCCATACCTCCACTCACGGCGCCGCAGTGCGTTTCTACGACATCGATCTATCGGGCAATATCGTCTGCCTGGGTGTGGCGGAAAAACAGTAGAGGACGACATACTTACGGCGCAACATTTCTTTGGAAATCTCACTCGATATATATATATATATATATATATATATATATACATGATAAACTATTTCTCTATATCTTTCTCGAGATATATATATATATATGCATGTGT